AATTCCCAGAATTCTTGAGCCAGGTGGCTCAGGAATTCTGGGAGTTGAGGTCCACAGGTAGTACAGGAGCCATAGTTGGGAGAAGAACTTTGGACATAATGTAGAATTAGAAAACCGGCAAAAGAAAGAAATGCCAAATTAACGAAAGCAGTGGCATATATAAAGAAAACCTATATAAAATGTTTTACAGATGGCATTTAACACCAGTGAGATTAGCAAAAACGTTTAAAAATACTTCACACAAGTGTTGGAAATGCAAACAAAAACCAGGTACTTATTTCCATATCTGGTGGACATGCCCTAAAGCTAAAAGATTTTGGTCCAAAATATATTTATGGTTGGAGAAAATGACTAAAAAACAAATAGACTTTAAGCCAGAATTATTTTTATTGGGAATAATAGGAGCAAATTATGACAAAGACTGTATATATTTAATTTTACATGTACTAACTGCAGCAAGAATTGTATTTGCCCAACATTGGAAAAATGAAAATTTACTAATTGAAGAAGAATTAATTAAGAAACTTTAAGCGTGTGCAGAAATGGATAGATAGACTTTAAAGATAAAAGAGAAAGAAGACTCCGTGTATTTTAGAACATGGGATAACTTTTATCAATGGATAGAAAAACAAGTTAGAGAGAAAGGAATGTGATATGTAACACTGAATATATACTAGTAAGAAGAAGACTCTCGAGCAATTAATTAACATATTGTTTAAGATAATTAGTTACTACTCATTTTTTTCTTTTTAAATACATGTAATAATAAAGAAAGGCCAGCTGCCTTTTGGAAAGCCACTTTAGGGACAACCATGAATCTCCATAGACATTTACAACCTATGGACTTCAACTCCCAGAATTCTTGAGTCAAGTGTCTCAGGAATTCTGGGAGTTGAAGTCCAGAGGTGGTACAGGAGCCATAGTTGCCACCCCTGATCTGTACAGCTTTCTGTCTTTCTTGCTCCCATCTTCCCAGCGAATGAAACCCTGCTAAATTTCTTTCACCCCAGGATTTCCAGGAAGTGCACATGGAATCCATGATCCCTAAGCCTTCTCCTCTGAATTTGCTCCATCTTTGCTGTAGTCCTTCTCCAGAGTAGCGAGAGCCCGCAGCTGTCCCATCTTAAATTTTATGGAACGGTCTAAATTCACAGTATACTTCAGGAATTTATTCCCTTCTTCTACGGTGAAGTGAAAATCACCGGACAAGAAATTCTCAAAAAGTTCAGGGTCGCCATCCAAGGCCATCATGTTCTGGAGTTCTTTGTGCTTGGAGAACAGCTCAGAACAAGTCTCCACAAAGACGGCCCACATCAACCTCTTCTCATAACCGTTGGGCGGTTGACACTGCTGCTTGTCTTCCATGCACTGGAGGATCCAACTCAAGCGACACGGCCACTGGTTGGCCAACACCACCCAACTGGCCACATTCTGGATACAGCGCTTGTTCCTGAGCAGGTGCTGTTGAGTCATCAACCTGATCATAAGAATGATGGTGTTGCTAATCCTCGTCATCTGGTTAATGTTATCTGGGACATAATGGTAGAGACAATCCTTTTCATCTTGTAAGTATTTGAAAGCTTCACGGATGTTGGCCTCTTCCAGGTTCCCTGTACTGATCAGAACTTCCAGTTTCTTCAAGGTGTCCTGCAAACTCTTCCTCTTGGACTCGATGGCTATTTCTGGTATGGAGAACGGAAGGGTCATTATACGGTTGAGGTACAGGTAGCCGTTGTCTGCCATTCCCTTCATGCTCTCAGCGTTCTCCAAGCAAGAAACGATGATGCAGGGATCAACCACCAGGATGAAGATGAAGGGAGAATCCTTATCGGAAAGGAGCGTGTGGATGGCATTCAACACCCCGACCACCTGTTCAGGGTAGCATATATCTAAAGATGTGATCTCAATAACAATCTTCAAGTGCCGACGGTCAAAGATGTCCATGTAGCGTATAAAGTTGGTGAGGACCTCAATCTCTCTCTTCACTGCACTCCTGAAACCCAAATGTTTGGTGAACTTCTCATCGCTTGTCATGCTCTCGATCTTCTTCTTCTGGCTGATGATCAAGTTCTTGATGACAGGACCAATGGCTATGATGAACCCTGAGCCCAAAATGGCAGCCATGCTGCTACCAAGGTACTTCAAGTATGTGCCATCCCTTATCTCTGGCACAAGGAAGATGACAGTAGCCAGGCCTGCGACAGTTAGGACAACAATCAGCAGGAGTCCTACTGCCATCCAGCATGTTTTCTTTTTAAGCCTCCATTCTTGGGTGGCTCCTTTGACGGATTGTGGATTGCTTCCTACCACTTGGTAGAAACTCAGGGGAAGAGGACTGTAGTAGTTGCGGATTTGGTCACACAGGGTGGTGATCAACCCAGCCCACAACTGTTTGTTGCATGCATACTCCCAGGCGCTGAATTGTATGAAGAGGAAGTCGAAGTTTTTTCTTTCGCGGTGCTTTTTGGTGATGACTGGTTGGTAGAAGATGATGTGCCAGAGAAGGATCAGGTAGTTTATTCCTTTGGGGGCTCGGGACGTCTGGCAAGTGCTGCTGAATTCTTTTTCTTCCTTTTGGATGGATTTGTTGCTCATGCTTTCTGCAAAAATCAGTTCAGAAGGGGTCAACAGAAGACCTGCCAAGTTCTCAAAGACCTCCTATCTATAGAAGGGAATCTTTGTAGCTCAGGATTGAAATGTGGGCTCCATGGTGCTCTTTGAGCTTGGTGGTTTTTCTTGCAAATATTTCATAACCCAATTAATAATAATAACAAACAACAACAACATCATCATTATCATCACCATAATAATAATAATAATAATAATAATAATAATAATAATAATAATAATAATAATAATAATAATAATAATAATAATAATAATAATAATAATACCAAATGAAGAACAGAATAGAGGCATGGGAAGACAAGTACATGGCCAGTACATTAAAAAAATAGCTGGGAAAGCAGATAATAACAAGACCTGGCAATGGCTAAGAGCAGAAAAATTGAAGAAAGAGACCAAGGGACTAATTCTGGCTGCACAAGACCAAGCCTTAAGGACAAATGCATATAAAGTCAAAATTGAGAAGACAGCAACAGACAGTAAGTGCCGCCTGTGCAAAGAAGCTGAAGAAACAGTGGACCACCTGGTAAGCTGCTGCAAGAAGATCGCACAGACTGACTACAAGCAGCGGCATGACAAAGTAGCAACAATGGTGCATTGGAAGATCTGCAAGAAATATCATTTGCCTGTAAACAAAAACTGGTGGGATCATAAAATAGAGAAAGTCATAGAAAATGATAAAATTAAACTGCTCTGGGACTTCAGAATTCAAACAGACGAGCACCTGCAACATAACACCCCGGACTTAACAATTGTCAATAAGAAAGACAAAAAAGTCTGGATAGTGGACATGGCAGTGCCTGGAGACAGCAGAATAGACGAGAAAGAACTGGAGAAGATAACAAAATACAAAGACCTACAAATAGAAATAGAAAGACTGTGGCAAAAGCAAGCAAGGGTAGTACCAACAGTAATAGGCGCCTTGGGTGCAATCCCAAAACAACTGGAGCACCACTTGGACACCATTGGCATTGACACATTCGCCACCAGTCAATTGCAAAAGGCGGCCTTACTAGGAACTGCTTCCATCCTGCGACGATATCTGTAATACCATCAAACATCCACATCTGCCTATCCCAGGTCCTGGGTAAGGACTCGATAGGTAGACAAAATGCCAAATCCAGTCTGAACATCTGGCTGACTGTGCGATGATCCATAATAATAATAATAAGAGGGAGTCAAGCTATTCTCCAAGGTGCCTGAAGGCAGGACAAGAAGCAACGGATGGAAACTGATCAAAGAAAGAAGCAACCTAGAACTAAGGAGAAATTTCCTGACAGTTAGAACAATTAACCAATGGCACATCCTGCCTCCAGAAGCGGTGAATGCTCCAACATTGGAAGTTTTTAAGAAGAGACTGGACAGCCATTTGTCCGAAATGGTATAGGGTTTCCTGCCTGAGCAGGGGGTTGGACTCGATGACCTCCAAGGTCCCTTCCAACTTAATAATAATAATAATAATAATAATAATAATAATAATAATAATAATAATAAT